TCAGCTCTCCATAGTTCTCCTGTGGCGCGAGCACAGGGCGACTGTTGCGCGCCTTTAGCGAGCATGCGCGTTTCCTGTCGCGTGTGCGGTGAATCGTGCCGCCTGCGCTGTGCGGAGATGCAGGGGAAACCGTATGGGGAAACGCAGCTCGACGTAACACCGGTATTTCTATCAGGAAAACGCTGTTTTGCTGCCGGAGTCATCCTCACTCTCCATCTCTCTGTGTGTGCTGTACGTTAACACCCACCAGCAGAAACACCCACCTACCCAACTGACAGACGGAATCTCACTATACATCAGCCATTCTCATCCTCCCCTCTCTCATGACAAGGCGCGCACCTCTGGATGACCTAAAAATAATCTTTAATATCTCTTAAACAAAAGTAGCACAAACAATATTTTTTTCTGCACAAATCTTCACTAACGTTGCACTAACCATTCAGTCTATTTGCAGAGTTCTTTTTGACGTGGGTGGGGTGTCAGCTTCACGCAGCTGCGCACGAGTCTTATCATGAAAAAAGGCTCATTGTGTGACCTGAGTAACGCGCAGTAACGGGGTGTCTGCAATGGTAACTGCGTTATAGTTACAGTCAAAGTAATTAGTTAGATTACTCGTTACTAAAACAAGGTAACGGCGTTAGTAACGCCGTTACTTTCAACGCCGTTAGTCCCATCACTGGTCCTGCGTCTCTTCGATGTCTGCTTTTTAAAAATTATTTTCATGCTTTATGTTGTGCTTGTTAATTGAGTTAAGAAAAAACTGTTAGATTGAAATCCATGGCATAATGTGCACAACCCTAGACCTTTGAACATTGTCATATTTCAACCAGACCGTAACGTATTTTATTAAAAGTTTATTTATACGAATGGTTGCATTCCAAATGCAACAAATTGCCACCAGAGTCAATACTCTGCAGAACTACAAGTCTTTTAAGGTATTTCTTTACCTTCTTTGTAGCATTGTTGCCAGTACTGCTTAAAGGTATTGTGGAGGACTTTTGAGAATTTTTTAATAGCAAACTCAGTTAACTTACCGTTTGGACAGATGATCACTACTTTTTGCTTCCCATTGGTCACGTAACTCCTCCTCCACTAAGCGGCGCCTGCGTTATCTTTGATATGGCCACCGTGACAGCAAATCCCATCATGCTTTGAGAGGAGAGATCTTCGCACAAAGCATTCTGGGATATATCTGCCTCTTCTGAGGCCTTTCTTTTCTTCTAATACATTTTGTTGACACATTTTCTTTCACAACCCTCTGCCTTTTTCAAAGAACCCCGGTGAGAAAGGTGAGCAGTAATGACTGTCTAAAACTGTAGCTCACCACAGATATATGCCTAAAATTGCGCATGCGCAGAAAAAGCAAGTTTAGTCCAACTGCGCTATTGATGAGAGGGTCTAATGCGCGTTGGGCGGAGCTACCACATCCTTTCTTTGTCTGGCGGCTATATTTGCTGTGATCAGTGGGAAAACAGTAGTTTTAATATGTTTTTAGGTGAGAAAGTCCAAATGAAAACTTCATCTGTGCAGTCAGTTCATCCAGATTACCATTCTGCCTTCAAATATCGGAGCCGCTCAGACCCCCACATACCAGCGGTCAAAATGCGCTGCAGGACATTTTGCTACACCTTGACGTGTGTCAACCATTGACTTTGCATGTAAACTAGCTGCTCCTGCTGCCTCTGCTGCTTTTGGTGTGAACGTAGCCTTACATAAATATATCACCAGAATGATTGACATCAGGAGGACCACTTATTTAGAAGATCCACTCAGACATAAAAGATCGTCCTGTATACCTTTAAGCTCTGTATAAAAAAAAAGAAAAACAATTATCCGCTTCATGCTTTTGGGAAAATAAATCCCCGAAATTCTTCGATTTATTATTGATTCTTTAACTTAACTAGCAGATTAGTTTAACCTGAGCTGTAGGTAATTGTAGCTCCTCCAGAATGACCTTCCCCGCTCAATGCTCATTGCCCTGCCTGTCGGTTACCATGGCTTCAGACGTTTGCAGTTGTATTACACACAGGTTGACTCAGTTTACTAACCAAGTAAGCTCTGCAGGCTATAGGTTTTATTTTGAGGGCATCTGATTAAAAACACCTGGATGCAAAGGCACAACTTTTTATTCCTGATGTTTTGAAGAGCAAGTGTTTTTTATGTTCCACAATTAGACCAGCTCCTTGCACTACTTGGTGTTGATCTGTTAAGCTAGAATAACATTTGTAAGAGAAATAAAACAAACTTTTGTAAGGGAATGTATATTGATTTCAAGGTAGTGGCACTATGTCAAATAATTAGATCCCTACAGCCTGAGATCTATTAACAGTTTTATGCTTTGCTTTAGGAGTCCGTTTAGGCTCTTCTTTGAGAACTATTTAGAGATTTCATTTTGTTGTCCAATGTTTTATCAGTTAAAAAGGCATGACAAAGTTTTCAAATGATACTGCCCCCTCTTGACAAAACACAAAACTGCAGCACTATTCTGCTAGTTCTCGTAGCGCATCCTCGAATTTCAAACGTTTTTTAAAATTTTTTTTACTTTTTTCGCCTTACGTACCTGTACTTGCCATTGGTGTCTCGGTTAAGCTGTAAGCCGGTGGCTTCTGTGTATCTAAAAAATCCATCTTAAATATAAGGTTTCGTTTGTTTGCTAGATTGGATTGATTCAATATGGATATGCTTGACTTCACAGCTGCAGAACAGCGCAGGAGCCTCCGACCGGAAATACGTTCAGGGAAAAAAAATAGGCTACATTCCTATATATGCATGAGCACTGAGCTGCTATGGTATTGGTTTGCTCATCAACCAATGTTTTAGTCATAAAGGGTCAAATAGAAAGGCTAATTTAAAGATATATTTCAGATAAAACTTAACAAAATGTCTCTTTAAGGCTAATTGTATAAGGTTTAAGGATCCATTGTTATACTGCAGAGTCCCTAAAGATCAGTTAAAAATCAGCATTGATGATTAACATAGTTCAATATTTGCACTTTAAAGGTTTAAGGGTTCCAGTCTGGCTGTCTTCCTCTTTTAACTTACTGCAACGTCCCCAGCGAGGACCATCCATCCATCCATCCATCCATCCATCCATCCATCCATCCATCCATCCATCCATCCATCCATCCATCCATCCATCCATCCATCCATCCTTGTGTTTTTTTCCACAAGTTGTGATGTTCATGTCCATTACTAACATTCCAGGCAGGAAAAGCTGTGAAACAACAGTTGTCTAAAAGGGAAACACGATGGAAGATGGTTAGGAAGTTGTTCCAGACCGGGTGAATTCTCCCTATCTGCCAACAGCACTGACTTGGTGACCAAGTCTCTTCAGTGACGTAATGTTTGCTGCTTTTGCCTTTGTTGGCTTAAACGGACACAGTGTTGTCATAGTTTCTCTGTGGCAGGAAAACAGCCCGTGACAAAGACGAACGCTGTTTGCATTGACTCATGAGTGTGACTGTTCTTTCTTCGCTGCGTCCGACCATTGTTCACATTTGTCTCCTGTGTGCTTGTCGATAGGAAGAGGCGGAGCCGACGTCTGTCTCATTCTCTTCACCCAGAGGTTCAGGAACCATGTGGATATCTTAAACAAACTCGCATATAGAGAAAACAGAATGTGAATCTGTTGTAAAACTTTCATAGTTTCTTATCCCTGTTAGTATTTTTTCTAAGAATTTCATAGAACTTGATTAAATAGGGATATATACTAATGAACTGTAGACAGGTAGGGATTCCTTATGGGATGCTGCTGGGAGCAGTTTGATAAAACACGTCTAAGAATATTCAGGCCCCTGTTTCTGAAGCAGATCTGAAACTCTGATTATGGTCAGAGGGTGGAGACACTCCAATAGATCCCTCTCAGCTTCCCTCGCTAATGCAGGCCCCTCCTCCCTGCCCTAATCTGGTAGAGATAGTAACCGTCTAATGATGTACATCAACACTGCATGGTGAATGGGCGCAGGTCATTATGGCCCTTTGGCATTCTGTAGCTTTGCTTCTTTATCCATCTGTTTGGGCTTTTTATGAGCTGAACCAGCATCATTTCTTACCCATCAGAGAGGATGTTTAATTAGACAACTGACAGTTTTCTATGATCTACTGCTACACAAACTTCTAAAGGAATTATTTTTTTCAGCAATAAACATGTTCTACAACCACCAGGAAGGAATGTTCTCTGTTCTGTGGTCTTCATATGATATTTTCTTAACTGGTCCAAGCGGAAAAAAAGAGCAGAAATATGTTTAATACAAAGTTCCTGGAAAACTATAAGACATGCAAGACTTCTATAGACTTTCTATAGTTCATAATATAATTTAATTTCAAAGAAATACAAAGATATATACAATGGTTTAATGTATATGCATCATGTAGGAGTAGCTAGGGATGAAATTTCAATGCCTGTGTGTAACATAGGGCTCCTACTTAGCAAAGGCCTTATTTAATGATCCCTTAGAGCATTAAATAGGAAACAAGCAACAAGAAGAAGCGTCTGAGACTTAAATTCTGATCATTTAAGTTTCTTCTATTCTAAACACTTCAGCATTTAACCAACAAAGAGACCAACTGATGCTCTTCTGTGTCTTCCTGACCTTTCCTTTGATAGCAGGAGCAACTTTCTTTGTTTTCCTGTCAGCAATAACTGATTCAGATATATTTAATGTTTGCTCCCACTTACAATTTGCAGATGTTATCATGCAACTTGTATTTTTTGATTGACTGTAACAGTGTTAGTTTAGCTACTGTAAAATAGCTGCTCTGCTAACATCCTCATTTTGTCCGAATATCAGAAATCAGCCTTTAAATGTTTCATTATCTCCGAATATTTCTGATTTCAGATTTTCTCAAAAAAGCCTCTTCCTCCTTCTTTTGCCAACAACCGTCCCAACTCCAACTCTACACCCACCTCTGCCTCCGTGGTCTTCTACCCGACATTCAACCACGTCTGCCGAGTGGGTGCCAGCTCCCTCCCCAAGGGGTGGGAGTGAGGAGCTGGGAGATGGACTCGACAAACCCCTGGAGAACGATGCTGAGGGCGTGTGGAGCCCGGACATCGAGCAGAGCTTCCAGGAAGCCCTGGCAATCTACCCACCATGTGGCCGTAGGAAGATCATCCTCTCTGATGAGGGCAAGATGTACGGTACGCTCATCTCTGTTCTCATCATATCTGCTTACTTTTGTTGTTTTTAAAGTAAATTAAGATCACATTCAAGGATATGTATTATGGTTGTCAAAAGTATCGATACTAAAAAAAAGTATTGATACTGAAACATTGTATCCGGATACGATACTCATTTTCAAAAGTATCGATACAGTGCCACCACCAGTGGCACCTAAACAGTCATTCATCTAAAGTGCAGAATAGAGGAAAATGCCCTTTCTGAACTCTGTGTGATTGAATAATTCTGTGCACTTTTCAGTTTCAGACATTTTTTGTAACAGTTTGGGCTGATGAGAATTATTTTTGTTTTTTAACTGGTTTGGCTAGTGTCAGGAACACTTATTTTTATCAAGCTTGCTTAATATTGTGTACAGAACACAAGCTCAAAATATTGTTCTTATTGTTTATTGTGTTTATTTATTGTATTTTGTTTATTAATGAAAATATTTCTGTAGAAGGTTGGAGTCTTTGTTTTTATCCTTGTGGTATCGAAAATGGTATCAAGAATCGAATATTTTACTTAGTATTGGTATTGAGTTGAAAAGCTTAGTATCGTGACAACACTAATATGTATGCATTTATAGTAAATCAGAAAGTAGATAAAGATTCTTCAGTAGGTCATACTGCAAAAAAGTGAAATTTAAATAAGTAATTGTTTCTTAAAATAAGTGAATTTGTTCAGGTGAAATTGTTTGATGGAACAAGACAATTTAGATTTAAAATAAGAAAATAATAATTGCATTGTCTTATTTCCAGTGCATCTTATCTAATAATCTTATTTTAAGAGTACAAATTCTCATTCCATTGGCAAATCATCTTATTAACCTACTCAAATAAAGACATTTAAACTTATTTCTAGATTGTTTTTGCAGTGAAGATTCTGTTCAGACAAAGTGCATTTGCATTTTACCTTCAGCAAAGTAAAGATTGACAATTTTTTTCACAAAAACAACTGAAATTCTTCAAGGAAACTCCACTTAGAATATTCTACCATAGAAAAATTTATCAGAGTATGTTTGATGTCCACCAAGTGTCCTTATGTAAAAAAAAGGAGGAATTTGGACAAATTGACAACAAGGCCAGGAAATACCAGAGCAGCTTTGAGGTCAATGGGCTTCCCTGCAGGATAGCTAAGCTCTAATTTATGGTTTATTAACCTTAGCTAATAGTAATGCAATGTCCAATGTTCACAATCTGTTGTTTATGGTCAAAACGGATATATTTGGTTACAAACTTAACTTTGAAAAGGAAGCATTTAAAAATGATATAGTAACAATAATATAATAACTAGGGATGCACGATATAATCGGCCGCCTATCGGTATCGGCCTTAAAACTGAATATCGGACATCGTTCACCCCACCGATATTGAACCCGATATTTGATCAGCTTCTGAGTTTCTAAAGTCTAATAAAATACTACTTCTTCTTCTTCCTCAAAAACTTCTTTTTTACAGACTTAAAAACTTAAAAATATTGATACATTAAAATATCACAATATCTTCATATGCTGATATATTGCCATTTAAAAACACCATATCAATCTCTTTTACTAATGAAATATTGCTATATGTCATCGTTATGCTACGAAATCCCCCGAAAATTCAAGAAATTTTGCCATATTTTTATATGTTGATATATTGACGCGGTATTGATCTATTTTACTAACAAAATCTCACAAGAATTTGCAAAATATCACGAGAGTTTGTAACAGAACGATGAAATTTCACGAGATTTTGAAAGTAAAATAGATCGATACCGCGTTTTTAAAAATCTATTTGATATCAGCATATGAAAATATATTTGAGTATATTATTTTTCAAAGTGTCAGAAATGGATAACAAAACTGCTATTTTCAATGACTACTTATTTTTGTCCAGCTTTAACATCAGTATCATTATCAGTTATCGGCTACATGAGTTTTAAAATAACGGCATATCGGATATCGGCCAAAATCCCAATATCGTGCATCCCTAATAATAACCTTGATTGGAAATACCACAAGTTTACTGTGTGTTAACAAAAATTCTAAATATTAACTCAGGACTTAAGGGCTTTTATATACAACATAATAATGTATAATAATAATTATAACATCAACAACATGAGACCAAAAATTAACTTATTGATATCTACACACACAGGCTTTAGACATTAAAGCAAAATCACCTACTAAATTTAGGAGGAATTTTTAAATTCCTAATCCACAACCTTCTGTAACTTTTTTTAACAATGCAATAACAAGTTAATACTAGGTATTATTTTAAATGGGCTCTCACAGACAGTAAGTAATAATAGATAACTCTCTTTCAGCATCATTTCAGCTTTTAAACCCTGAATATTTTTTCTTCTTTCTTTAATGTAAACAGGGGAGCGTTATATTAGCCTAAATTCAACCAGCTTACCAGCAGTGTGCAGCAGTATTATTCTTTGTCACATACAGGCAGAGAAAAATCTGGTAGTAGTTAATGAGGACATAACAAACATCTTTTCTCTAAAACTTCAGAGCTTGAAATTGGGTTAAACCCGTCTCACAATTTGTTTCATATGCTGTCTAGAACACACATGTTCATCTCCTTATGTTCATGATTCACATCCCTCACGTTTCCTGTGCAGCTGTTGAGCTGAAGCTCCCACAGTCCTCAGTTTGAGGGTTTGATATATAAGATCACTCATTCCATTAGATGTTAGGGAAAATTTTAAGTTTTTTATTTTTGTTATTTGTTTTTGCAAACAGATCACATAGTGAGAAAATCACAAATAGTCCTTTCCAAACTTGACTTGAAAGAACAGTTGTTAATACTTGAGTTTAAGTTTTCACAGTCAGTGACAACAAAGATTTAATAAATATCAAAATAGGTTTTAAAGTGGATTCTTTTCCAGTATAGGTTGATCATCTAAATCATTTAGTTTAAACTTGAGATAATGAAATGTATTCTACACTCATCAAAGATTGTGAAATATTTAGTTTGTTTAGCACTAATTGGAAGCTGCAAATCAAATTCTGAAGTTAGTGCTGTTACCCACTAATGGTAGCCAGTCACATTATTCTCAAAGGGCTTACAATCAATCAATGCCTCTGTCATTGTTAGTTTTATGTGCAGATGGTATAAAAAGCTGCCAGATGAAAAATTTTGAATTAAGCGATGAATTATTCTTCAGTGCTTTTGTAATGTTTTTAGCACCGTCTTTTATAGAGTTTGTTGGCTAACGCCATAAAAAAACCCTTTAATGGTGGATTAAACATGGCTACTCGTGAACTACATACTACAAGAGTGTCCAAAAAGCATGAGGCCTATGTCTTTTAGGCTATGAGGAACAAAAATGTCTCACTCGCAGATGCAGTGTTCATAATAATAGCTTTCATAATAGCTTTGCAAAAAGATATTTCACTTAACCACAACAAATATCTTAGCTTATTAACAAAGTAAGATTTTAGTTTCACTTTGAGTTTCATATTCCATTAGAAGGATGTACATTTGAAAAATTATAAATGATACTCTGTTAAGCCGTAGTACTCAACAGATCATTTAACTGGAATGCGCGCCAAACTGCTGGGAATTTAGTGCAATCTGTCATTAGAATTTTTTTAATAACTGAATTGGTTTGTGTTATGGTTTATGTATTAAAGAATAATTTCAGGATTTTACTAACAACAATGCTTCCTTAGTGGTTCGTATGCTGATGTCATTTTCAAACATGTGTGAGGAAGGTGAGGTTGCTGCAGAATTTTGCTGAAAGATATTTGGTGACAGATGGTTTGGTCAAAGAGAGGCCTTCTGCCCGACTGTTTGATAGCGGATCTGCTTGGTGGAAAACTGGGCGGATGCAGGCGGTGGCGCTTTCAGACAGTGTCTGTCATCGCCTTGTTTTGTCACTGTGCCAGACAGCTCCTTTAGCTCCCAGCTTTGCCTAGCCTAGCTTAGCTGTCGATTGAGGTCACGGCCATCCCTTGATCAACACTTAAACCCATATAAAGCCTGTAATAATAGTTGGGGTGGCCGAAGGCGGGCAGAGGAAGGAGGGGCAGGTATCTCTCTCTTAGTCACGGAGGTTGGGATTGGTTGGGGCAGTCCTTGGTGCAAGGGTCTGCAACCTATGGCTCCAGAGCCACATGTGGCTCTTTGGACCCTCTGCAGCGGCTCATAAAGTGGCTAAAATGTATATAAAGACCTAAATAATGCACTACAAAATAAATACCAGTCTTAAAAGCTTTAGTGTTTTTTATAAGATGGATAAGAAGGACATTAAAAGAACCAGAAATATGTTTTTAGAGTCACTTTCCTTTTAATTAGCTTGGAATTTATGTGTTTTAATATTATTTTAAAAGATAAAATACATACATTGTTGGTTGTTTAAGATGGCAACTAATTTCCTATACTAGATCATAAAAAAAACAAAATGTTTTTCTAAAATGTCATCTACTTTGCGGCTCTAAAGAGCTTTTACTTGGTCAGACTCGGAGCAAAATGGCTCTTTGGATATGAAAGGTTGCAGACCCCTGCCTTGGTGGGTAACATTGTTGGGGTTTTGTCGAAGAAGGTACTGAGGTACCCCTTTCTCTAGGGTGGGGGGGTTTGGCAGGGGCAGGTGATGCGCACTAGGGAGCACGATGGCTTGTCAGGAATGGCATGTGTGCATGGAAGTCCGGGGGTTCAAGGCAACTTGGCTGTAACCCTAAACTAGAATAGACGTTTACCCTTTGAGTGCCTGGAGGGGAGTATGAGAGGTGAACGAATAAACACCAAGGTGGCCAATGATGTTTTGCTGCGCCTTGGGGCACAACAAATATCTCTCAGCTGTTCCCATGTTGGAGGGAGAGAGGAGAAGTTTGTGTTTCCTTTAATTTCTTTAGTTCAGGTTGTCCCTGTTTAGTTTCTTTGTCTCAGGCAGTTCTCTTTGTTGTTGATGGGAATCTTCTTCTGTCTATCTGCGTGTCTATTTGTTGGTCTTCCTCTCAGTTTGCCTCCAGCTGC